TTTAGCTGCAAACGGGCAGGGTCTGCCCTACAGGGAACATTTTGGATGGCCCTCCGGAGAAGGAGGCAGCCCTCCCCTGCTCCCCCTCCCTGCTAGCTGGCTCCCTTCATAAAAACTGCTGCGACTGGGCCGGGCAGATAGGCTGCCTGCCAAAACGCGGTGCCTTTTGCTTGACCTGGGAGTAGCAAAACTGTTGGGCTCGGTGCGGAAAGAGATCTGCTTGGAGGAAGTAACGAAAAATCACACGAATGTGCCTGCGGGCTCGGCTCCTGCACAGAGGAGCTGAAAATAACCACGGCACGGCACAGCGGTGTGATGCGGGGAGGCGCAGGGTCCAGGGGGGCTGCGGCTGCTGCCGGTGGCCGAGGAGCAGCCTCATCGCGTGGGGAGGGCTCGCTCTGCCTCGAGGACTTTGCATGTTTTAGCATCTGGCGAGTCTGAAGGTCAGCCCGCGTTTATCAGCTCGTTTTGAGACGGGCTCGGAAGCTATTTGCATGAACTTGGAGGAGAGAGAAAAAAAAAACATCATAAACGAAACATAATCTCCGCAGGAAATTTTGACATAATTATGATTCAACTTGTTAATATTAGCTGTATTACATAAGTGTAGGTCAGACAGATTGTCTTCTGAGAATGTGGTCTAGCTAAGGATGCTGATCGTAGAAAGGTGGGTAAAGAGGTGCAAAAATGACTTATCAGCCTCATGGCCTGGTGGGTCGCGTGGACCCATACGACAGGCCAAACATAGATCTAACATTTGACCTAATTTTAACAATCATTTTGATTTTTTTTTTCTCAACTCAACTGAGACTATTTATTTTTATTTTATATTTATAGGGGATGTTTTAAGCAAAATTCAAATTTCTCATGGGAAATTCCACTTCCCTTGCTTTTAGGGGGAGAAAAAAAGAAAAAAAAAAAAAAAAGGAGAAAAACATTGTGAGAAATTTCCAACTGACTCAGATTCCAGCCAACAGTTTGTTTTGCTCGAGGCAAAAGCAGCTCTGCAGGCTGGGGTGTTTGATTTCATCTTGTTTCGTGATGTCATGGGGCAATCCCTGCGTGCCTGCAGGCTGTGCTGGCTGTGCCGAAGGGCAGGGGCACCCAGCTGGGGTTGGGGAGGACGACACCCTGCACCCTGCACCTTGCCCTGGCTGTGGCAGCTGCTGGGAGCCCGGAGCAACGCCACTCGATTCCATTAGGTACACACAGCAGCGGGGCTGCCACCAGCCTGCACTGCTGGAGGGGAGAGTTCAGCCTAAACACAGCCCCGAGCCCTGCAAATAGCCTGCAGGTGCAGCTGCCTTGCTGGGAAGGGTCAGGAGTGGGTCCTGGGGACGTGTTTGTGGCTGAAAAGAGACCGAGCTTCTCCCGGGGCTTGTCCTGGAGATCCCATCAGCTGCTCCCACTCTTCTCTTAGGGCTGTGCCTTTTGATACTGGCAAAGCAACTCCTACAACTAGCAGTAATTATGCAACCATCCATCCATCCATCCATCTATACCTTATATGATTTTTATATGAATTATTATATATATAAATATAATGTTTCTATATAATTCACACGTGGGTCTATTTACATAAGATATGTATTTTAAAGTACACAATTTGGAGCTGCTCACCCCATGACCAGGGAAAGCTGCTGCCCTGGGCAGCCACCTCCTGCCCTGGAAGGCTGCGACGTGCAGGGCCCCCTCCTGCCGAGCCCTCCCCAGGGAGCAGCTCACCTCCAGCTGCTGGGCACGGGGCTTTCGTCCCTGAATGGCTTGTGCAGGAAAATGAGCTGCGAAATGGGAATGCAGGTAACCCTGAAGTAGGGGACAATGCTATAGGTACTGCTGGGAAAAGAGGTCTTGGAAAGGGGACTGCCTTTTTGTGCCACTCGTCCTAATCATTATTCCAACATCACCGACTTGAGGCTTTGCGAGTTTATGCTTTATTTTTCCCGTATAATTCTGCCTGGTTCCTCAGCCAGAGGGGTTTTTGCTCCTCTTCCTCGGTGGCTGTGCCAACTTGATGCAGACGTGGGCTCACAGCGGATGGCGAGCTCGCGGAGGATGCTTTGGCCCCGCTCTGGTCCCTCTGCTCGGGCGAGACGGAGGATTTCCTCCTGCGCCCTCCTCCCTGCTGCCTCTCCAAGTGCTGGCGGGTCGCCCCAACGCAGAGAGCTCCCTTCCTTTCCTGGTCTCACGACAGGGTCTGTCTTAAAAGCACCAGGTAGCTGCGTACAAAAAGTCATACGGTTTTCTTCCCTTTGGGCTCTTGTTACCAAATACTGCGCAAATGCTGCGTTAGCATGAAGCCTGATATTAAGGTGAGAAAAAAAAAAAGGTGTGATTACTGGAGATGAGCAGTTCTTGTATTCAGTGCTGGTGATAAGTGAGGACTGGTGTTAAGCAGTGTCACAGACACCCCTGCTCTGGGTCGTTGCGTTTTGGATCATGTCCCCACATATTTACTTTGTATTTAGCAGCTGCTGGGCTTTTTCCAATATCCTCCTCCAAAAGAGAAGGGTTGTCACGTATCATCAGATATTACTGAGCAAATAAAGAATATATATATATATATATAGCAGAACATAAAGACTTGGGGTGACTTATTGCTATAATATGCAATATTTATTTTAAGCCTATTGATTTATTTGTTCAGGGTTATATTAGCATCTCAATAGCATGTTCCATCTGCCAGCTGCTCTTCAAAGTATGAGTTTTCTGTCATGCTAGTGGGGAACTTCGTGGCTTTGTACAATGCTGCTTAGAAGTTTGTCATAAATAAGTTGCATTTTCTAGTGGCCATCCATAATCAGTACATTTTATGAAAAAAGGACAAACTTTTGGATGCTGATCTTAAGTTTTACTCATTGAGCACAGTTTTAATCACACAATAATTCTGATTTTCATCAGAAACAAATTATTAGACCCATTTGTTTTTTATCCAGAGCAATATGGTGGTTTGCTTAGTTAGCAAGGAGTACCAGAATAACACAGATCTATCTTCTTTTTTGTAAGAGAATGATTAATTTGATTAATCAGATCTTGTGGTCCTGGAGCTTTGTCTGTCTGATGTGGCAGAGCTGTTTCATTGCTGGAGCAGACCCGTGGCTTCAAGCTTTGTGCCAGAGGAGATCAGGTCCATGCCCGAGGTACCTCCTTGCATAGACGTGTCCAAGCCCATCCCACACCTCAACCTGCCCAAAATCAGACCTCAGGACACTGCTCAGTACATTGGGACTTAGCAGACCAACAAGGACCCGGAGGCTAAATGGACTTGGGTGAAAATTACTTGAGCCTTTTTACCATTTCTGACGTGACAAAAAGAAAAAAAAGATATAAAACATCACACGGGGACCTCGTGTCCCATCCCCCTGCTCCCACCTCACCTTGATTTCTGGTACTTGCTGTTTGGTTTGGCTAAAAGGAGAAGTGAGAGGATGGTATTTCTTATTTTTCCCTCTGACCTAGACCAGGAAATACAGAGAGGCATTTCTAATCTGAAGTCTCTTGTTTTTCAAGCATTTAACCAGGTAAAGGGAAATTTACTTTTTCATCTGTGCAAAACACAGATATCCCAACACCTGGCTCACCCAAGGTACGAACTAGTCCGAGGTGCCCCAGCCTTTAAATATTTGGGCAGCCGGTTGCCTGTGATGATTTTTGTCTTCCTACTTTTTTTTTTTAAAGTTTCATTGCTCTTTAGTAACAATTCCTTACACTTCTAATGGGATGCAGCATGTGGGACGTTGGACTCCCCAACAAAGACAGCTGATCTGGTGGCTGTGTTCTCTGTCCCGTGTCCCGTGGAGGAACTCACAGTTCCCATCATTTTTCCCACAGTTCACTTTCCTGCACACTTCACGATAACCATTAACAGAGGGAAATTAATTTTGTGAGCTTTTTGGAACAGAGACAACTTCGTGTGAAGGTTTCCATCTGATGATTGATTTAAAAAATATAAGGGATTGGAGAGGACCGAAAGTAAAATGTTTGTACAAATTGTTGGCTTTCCAGGTAAATTGTTGGGGTTTCTTTGTGATTTAGGGAATGGGCGGTGGGTACACTCTACTCCCACACTTGACATAAGTCTTGGTCGTGTTTATGAGCCTGGACGTGGCTGTTCCTTGAGCTGGCAGCCCATTAATAACGGTGCCAGGTGCGTGCTCAAAGCCATGACCATGAACAAAGGGAGGTACTCCCTTACTGCAGGTACCCCCTGAAATCCCTCAGGGGGAAATGATGGATCACATCCAAGTCCAAGAACAACGAGGAACCTAAGTCTGACTGCAAGCCAGTCACTTTATCTTCTAAACACAGCAGCTGAAGAAAAGCCTGTTGGAGAGCTTCAGGGCCCGCTGTGAGCTGCACCCTTGCTGTTCCCCTGAGGAAGACCCCCAGCAGGGACGTGCGACATCTCCGCGACATTCAGAGCCTCTTTGCATCAGATGAGAGCCACCTCGCTTGTCGAGTGCTGGCAGGGCAGCTCGAGGTTTCCTTCACGTGGGTGTCAAGGCTGAGGGTTTGCTGCAGTGCAGCCCGTGGGAAGGCGAGAAGCAAGCAGTGGGGCTGCAGTGGGGTGAGATGGGGGCTGTGCACAGCTGCCTGGCTCCTGCTTCCCCTTCTGCATGGCTCACCTGGGCTTTATTGCTGCTGTAGCCATGATCTGAGCTCCAGGTACCTCCTGCTCTGCTTCCAGCCGGCAGCAAACCCTCCGCTACCTTCCCAGGGCTCCAGGCCTTGTCTTGGATCATGGGGAAAGCAGATCTGAAATGGTTAAAGCACCAAAAGATGGTGCTCCTAGGAGGGGAGGAATATGGGAAATTGTTTTTCATTGTAGGTGAATGAGCTAGGTAAGTAGGAATGGGTAAATTTGGGGGAAATGCAGTCTCTATGTGGATCTCAGCATGTGAAGAAATGAATGTACTTTGACAAAGAGGGAGTATTTCCTATCAGCTGAACTGGAAATATGGAAACACTCAATATGTTAACGTTGCCCCTTTCCTTCACAGCTCTCGACACAGGGTTTATACCCAGAAGATACAGGGGATGGGTCCGGCCGGGATGAAGAGGCTGACTGCAGGGGCCAGCAGCTGCTCCGCATCCACAGTGACAAAAAGACCCTGCAGGGACAGGGGACACGGGGACAGCGGGCGGCCACAGCAAGTCCTCTGGATTGCCCCATGCTTGGCCCAGGAGAGGTTCCCCTCTGCGGGGTGCTTTTTGTTTGGGACAGGTGAAGGCTGAGATCTTCCTTTGGGCATTGCCCATGCGTCCTGCAGCCAAACCGCTGCCCTCTGCATAAAGGTGCTGGGAGCCCACCCGGGGGGTGCCTGGAGGTCCCCCCCTGACACATGAATTCCTCGTGGTCAAACCAAGCACGTCGGCACCCAGCTGTGCTCTCGTACTGAAGAAAGCCTTTTCCCACCTTACATCTCCTCACCGTCAGAGGTTTTGTCCAGGCTCACCTGTCATTACCTGCTTTTTCTTCCCTGGAGTTCCTACTCTGACCCACCAAGACCGTGACCAGAACACCTTTGGATTTCCTCTCTGTGCACCAGGAACAAAGTCCTGGCTGGCTGTGAGGCCCCCGTGCTGTACAAGCGCAGAAAACAGGTCCCATCGGGGCAGGGGGACCTCAGGCCAGCAGCTGGGGGTGGTGATGTGTTCAAACCCCAGGCTACTTCTCACCCCTCCTCCTGAATCTCCAGCAGCACACCCAGGGGAGCAGAGGACCATCGGAGCGGGTGCCTGAGGCTGCTGGACCCAGGCGGGTGTTTGAACACCTCCGGGTGCTGTGGGGACCCCAGAGGGGGGTGGTTTGAGGACTCGCTGTGGTATCTGGCTTGAGAAAATGGCAATAGCTGTCCGTGAGGGTGTCAGCTCTCACCCTTTCTCCTTGACATCCGGGAAATTGCTTTTGAACTGTTTTAGATCCTATATTGCTAGTGGAACAAATTGCATACAGTATTCTAATAATCAGCTGTGTTGGATTTGTTGGACTTTTTGAGGGAGGAAAGAGATCTGCACCGCAGCCAGCCTTACCTCCAGCAAGGCAGTGGGTCCTCAGTTAACTGCCCTACTCCATATAAAGTTAAAATCAGATTTGTCATCTTGAAATACATCACTATACAAGAGTCAGATAATATTTAGAAAAGATTTAGTAAGCAATGTCTGCTGCACTGAAAATTAAATTAAGGGTGCAAAATGGGAATTTAAAGAAAATGGGTTTTGAATTTAATAAAGTCTTTGAAGATACCTACTTGGCAGGACGCATTTCTCCTCTATACATCTAACTGATTTGTTTGTGTATGTCATTCTGCTCCCTTCAATGTGTGAACGTCAAGCTGGAATGGAGCGAAGTCCAAATTTAAGATATGAAACTGGATGAGATTATATTTCGTACTGCATAAAATGCACCTCTGGAATTTTCAGTTCTTCTTTTCTGCAGCATTACAAGCTCTTTATAAAGTGCCAGGGCTGATGAGCTAAAAAAAAAAAAAGAAAAAAAGAAAAAAAAAAGAAAGAAAGAAAAAAAAAACAACTTGTGGCTTTGGATATATTCATTTCAAGTTTGTGGTTAATCTTTCCCAAGCTGCTTAGAGGTGAACGCCAGTTCAGTCATCACACTGCTTCTGCAGCAAGCTTTGCTGCTGTTTCTAAATGTCTCTGATAAAAGGCTGTGAAAAATGGACCTGCGGTAAATTGCATCATCCTCGCTACGGGTTTTGAGATGGGGACAGGGCGCACAGGCTGTGCGGTGTCTGAGGGATGCCAACTCTGCTCTTGTGCTCCCCCTTACCCATCCCAACCGCCACTGAAATCCCAGCGGCATTGGGCTGGCACGGTGCAGAGCCCAGCAAATCCCGCTGTGGAATAATTGCAAAATCCCGTTTCCAGCCAGCCTGTTCACTTCCTTTACACCAGAAATCTTGCCTTAGCTAGGGGCTGTGGGCACGCCAGATTTCTCTGCTCAGCTCCCAGGGGTTTCAGCGTTAACCAATGTGGCACCGGTTTCTTTAAAACCTTCTTCGAAAAATAAATACAACTTCTTTCTTCTCGAACTTTGAGAGGTTTTACTTCATGCTCATTAAACTTCACTGCCAAAACTCCGGAGTGGTTGAGATGAGGCAGCTGATACGTGAGGACACAAACTGCAAATTGATGCTGGAGAGAGGCAGCAGCCTCTGTACGCACCTTGGAGCCACGTAAATCACTGTGAGCTGTAAGGGGAAGAAGTGGGGAGTCTCTGGTTTGGCAATTATGATAGGAATTAAACCAAAACCAGGGTTCCTCTGAGCACTGCCAGGGCTAGTGCCTGTTCGCTCATTGCACATGCATTGTTGTGGTGCTGGGATGCCTTTTTATGCTTTATTTGTATGTAAATACAAGAAAACATATATAAACACTGCCCTGAACTTAACTCGGCTATTCTAAACAAACCCACGCAACCACATAGTTTGAGGAAGGCAATCCAGGAGGTAAAACCATACATAGTACACATGGGTGTGCCTGCCACCAGCCTGCTACGCTGACACGTCTTGCTGCTCTAGAGGTGTGTGTTCGCTTACGGCACCAAAAATAGTCTTCAAACTAAGCACAAGGGGCAGGTCCTTTTCTTTTAAATATTTTTCTCCCCTGGGTAGAAAACAACTCAGGTCTGTCTGCCAGCAGAATAAATCAGTTGCTTTCCATGTTTCTTTTTTTTCTTCTTTTTTTTCTTTTTTTCTTTTTTTTTTTCATGAGGGAAAACGAGCCCTTACACCAATCACTGCACAAAGTGTTTCCTTCAGCACCACGATACCCTTGGCAATCAGGCACCTGACTCGACTTTCCCTCTTTCCCACTCATTATAAAGCAAGAGCAACCGTGCATGAAAGGAAATGCATGGATGTGAAACCAGCTGAGAAACATCCCGGCCACTTCTCTTTTCCCATCAGTAGATGTTGCTTCAGTTCCCATTTCCTATCACTGGCTTCGGGCCCTTGTCACCAGTTGCTTACAAGGGATTTCTGAGCCTTGGACCAAGATTTCACTGTTCTGAAGGAAATCTTCAATATTTCTGTTGCATTTTGTCTTTAAATAGACATTGTCATCCTTTCTACAAAATATTTCCCTTAACTTTCCACCTCTGAAGGAGCCTGATTTTGGGCCAGGACCTTACCTGGCCCCAGTTCCCCAGGGGGAAATCAGCAGGGGACATGCAGCCAGGAGAGGGGAGATTTGGGATCTGCCTCCAAGGGCTCAGCTGCCCCCCACGGCAGGGACAAGGCAGCAGCAAGCCTGGCTCGAGCTGCCCCCAGCCTGCCCCAAACCCCCGTGACCTTTATAGCTATTATTTTAAGTCTTACGGAAAAGGAAATAGGAAGTAGAGCTGCTATAATGCATTTTTGTGCACTGCTGCGCTCTCCCATGCTCGGATGTGTTGCTGTTTACCTGGCAGGGCGCTTTCTGTGCCATTTTCAGTTCCATGTTGCAGTGAGGTCCTGCAGCCCCTCAGCTGCTGCTTAGCTCAGTGATGCTCTGTGCTGTCGAGGGGCACTTCAGCCAGGGCAGCTCTCGGTGGCTGTGATGTTTTTTGGCAAGAGGGTACAGCCTGTCACCCAAAAGCGGGGCTGGTGCTGCAAAGTCCTGCCTACAGCGATGCCTTGGGCTGTGGGGGGAGCTGCCCTGGTCCTCTTTGCTCCAGGGACCCCACTGAAATTTGTGTTGCCTGTTCCTGAGGATGGAAGGGGTCCAGAGAAAGCAGGGGCACAGTCCTGGGGGTGGGGGTGGGCTGGTTTGCTGCTGTTCTGGGGTTAGGGTGGAGACCCAGAGCTGATTTACTGGGAAATAATGACAGGTAAACCACAGCACCTGGGTTTTAGTGACTGTTCTGGGGTTTCTAGTGCCTGTTTCAGAAATGCATCTCAGGATGTTTGCAGCTCCTTGTTTGAACTGCATGTGGCTTAAATCTGCTCTGCTCACTCTTAATTCCACTTTCCCCACAGACATCCAGTAACTAAACAGACACGGCTTTAATTGTTTCCACCCAGCGGTGCCGTGGGCTGCCACTGATCAGCATTAACCAAAGCGACTGAGGAGCTCTGGTGGGTGGCCAAAATCAAGGGGAAGCATCCCTGAGCTGCTGCCAGCACCCGCGCTCCAGCTCGCTGGGAAAGCTACATCTTAGGGCAAAATGAAACTTGTTTCCTGTTCTTTTTTTATTCCTTTATATACAGAGGCCACGCTCTTACTGGATCTAGGATTTCCTTTTCTATTTTTTCCCCTCAGTATTTCTGTAGGGTTTTTTCCCTGTTTCCGTCTTCCCTCCAGGATGTCCTTGTTGAAGTTCTCTGGACGGGGGCAATACTGAGGGCAGCTGGTAGCCCTTGGTGGGGATGAAAACATCCCACAGTGCTGGAGACTGCAAGGGGGTCACCAACTTCAGCCGTACTACGTATCTTTTTCCAGCCCTCTCTGCTAGTTGTTCTCAGCTCCTATTCACTTCAATAACTAATGGAAAATTGTCTACTGTGGTTATTCGAGCAATAAGGCGCATTAAACATGGCATTTCCCACATTGTGTAGAAGCAGGGGATCTCTTGTGCTTTGGTTTTCTGCATCCAGTCTCATTTGGGAGACTGAAAACAGATGAGTTTGGGAGGCAGAAAACAGCTGAGTTGAGAGGCTGGTCCAGAAACCAGGTGCTGAAAATACAGATGGAAAACCCAGCAAATCAGTGCCTAGGCCAGAGGAGGAAGCAAACAGCTTCTTGAGAAGCTCTGCTTTCTGTTGGAGGAATGTGGCAGAGCCAACAAAGAGCCAAAATCTGCCTACTGCTGCCTGCAGGTGACCTCCTGCCCTGGCTACCTTGTCACCGGGCACTTGCTGGCTGCGGGCTTGGATCAAGGAGGGTGAGAGAAAACTAAATGTGTACGCAAGGGTCAGCCCACCAGGCCCATGGGGCCGTGAGGAATGGCTGAGCTGGCTGGCTGGTGGCACAAGGAGCTGAAGGGAAGGAGGAGACCCTGCAAGCCACGGGGAAAAGGAGGATCTTGGCAGGGAGTTCTTGGATCACCAGGTATGGCCTTACCCGATGCCCACAGGCACTTCCAGCAACGCCTCTGCTGCAGTGAGCTTTAGACTAAATGGTGCAGTGGGGCGTGCGTGGAAATGCTTTGACTGAAAGTGGTTCACACCAAAGGGACATTGGCTGTACGAGCGGTGCTGCCGCCACCTCCCCGAGCGGTGCAGGGTGTTTTCAGTGACAGAATCTCAAACGGCCACAAAGGAGGCACCCTGATTTATGCATCGAGTACCAGGAAAGGCTCGAGTTCTGTTTGTCACTCAGCAGATGGTGACGGTTGCTCCAGTGTATGAAATATTTCATGCCTGACACCTCACTTCAGGAAACAGTGGTTTGCTCAGCAGAGGCGCAGGAGGCAGCAAGCTGTTATCGAGTGTAACATTAGCCCTTTCCTTCATTTTCTCCATTTTCAGAGTTTGTTTTCTGGTGCAGAAGCTGCACTGACTGGCTCGGAGGGCAACGTCATGCCTGGGTGCTCGCAATGGGGACACATCCCCGGGGCCAGGCTCCCCGGTGTTTTGTGGCGTTTTTGACCCCGTAGCGAGTTGGTTTTCCTGCAGGGCTGGGCCGCGGCCCTCACTCGCTGGGGTTCCTGTTCCTCAGACACAAGGTGCCTGAGGTTTGCCGAACCGCGGTGAGTTCATTGTGAAACTGCCACGGAGGTGGCTCCTGCCGCCCCGGGTTGCTGTGCTGTGAGGCACCGCAGCAAATCCCTCACCAAGAAGCCGGAGGTAGGCGGGTGCTGCCTGGGCAGGCACCAGCTGGGGCTTGGGCCCGGCCACCCCAACACCCAAGGGTTGCTTTGGGGTGTTGGGTCACTAGGCCCAATACCCCAAAGCGAAATTAAACAGGCTGGAAGATCAGCATCTTCCTCCCTGTCATCCCACGGCCATGGGGAGAGGAGGCCATGATGGTGACCGCAGCACCCTCCCTGACAGCAGGCCCGCAGCAGCAGGGGATCTGCTGCTCTCACCCTGCCTGCAGCTGAGACCTGTGCTGATTTCTGGGGGTGTTTGGCGAGCGCTGATAAACCACTGGAGCTGTTTGTGTGTCAGCAGGCAGAGCACACTACGGGCTGTGCTCCGTGGTGGGCACAGCCAGCCTGGGCTCTCTGCAGGGGCCTCCAGCCGGCCCCTTGAAGGTGCCCCAAATCCCTGTTGTGCCTCAGCAGAGAGGGGCTGGTCACTAAAAGTGGGGTACACCACTCAAATACCATCACCCATGGTCCACAGGATGGCTCTCAACGGGTCATGGTGGTGGTCTCCTGCCAGGGGTCAGCAGTGACACAAACGGATTGTGCCTGCTCTGCTTGGATTTCTTTTCAAGACTCTCTCTTAAACTCGCTTTTAAGTTGTGCTGAGCTGGGGGAGTGTGTTTTCTCTGCCCCGCTTCACTGAAGCTCTGGGCTTTTCTGTGCTGGCTTATCAGCCCGCAGCTGGAGGCAGGGGTGAGGAAGGGTGAGAGGCAGCCTCGGGTCGCAGCTATTTCCTGCTGGGGCAGGAGAACGGCGCTGAGCCACGGCGTCCCCCTGCAGACAGGGCTCGGTGCAGATCGCTCCTCGTCATGGAAAGCAGCAAGAACCTTCCACAGAGCATTTAGCCCACTTCCTCGAAGTACTTTTACCTTTGCCTTAACTTGGATCTGGCTGCGAGCTGCTGTGCGATGTATTTACATGGCACGGTGTCAGCGCAGCAGCTTAGGCACTGGGAAAAGCTGAGCATCAGCCCTGGGGGGCTCTGTGCTGCAAAGGGGGCAGAAGCAGTCACCCTGCTAGTGGGGGGCTGCTTTAAAAGGCCTCCTGCTCAGCCTGGTTCTGCTCATCCGGGGCATCAGGAGGTGCCACAGTAACACGGACCTTAGGAAAATGTTATTTCAAGGGCTTCCTCCTAGGTTGCAAAGCTAAAGGGCTGTGCGTGCTCCTTGATGCCTGGATGCCCCTGATACGTTAAAGGTGTGTCCCAAGTAATCAAAATACCCGAATGAGTTGCTTCTCTCA